GTGGCATGATGCGCTATGGCTGCCACAGAGGCCACGGTGGCACCAGCAGCTGCTGTGTCTGCGGCTGCAGTGGCTTTCCAGCCGGCTGTGATGCCCCAGCGGTGGCGAAGGTCGAGCTCTGTGTGAAGAGCAGGCTGCCGACGTTGGGATTCGCAGCCCCTGGTGAGAGAGCAAGAGACCTTCTGCATTCTCCTTTGCAGAGGGTTTCATAGACCGGGCTGCCCCATCGCCATCTTGCCGGAAGTCTGTTATACATTTTCAAACATGAAGTTTTAAGTGTACCAGCAGCACTCTGTGACTTGGAGTTTCTCTCATAACTACTAAATGGAACACTAAATGTGGTATCCTAGATTGTATACTAGAACAGAAAATTGACATTAAATAAAAACTGAGGAAATCTAAGCAGGTGTGGTCTTTAATCATAATATATCAATATTGATACATTAATTATAAAAATGTAGCATGCTAATATAAAATGGTAATAATAGGCAAAACTGGCTTTGGAGATTTACAGGAAAATTTTGTACTATTTTCACAATTTTCTGTAAGTCTACAACTGTACTAAAATAAAAGTTGTTTTTATTCAGTAGCAATATATAAAATTCATTAAACCTGAATTGTGGAAAATATAGCTTCTATTATAACTTACCTTGAAAACCTCTAAAAGACAATGCTTGTCTACTGTTAGAAGAAATGGAGCATATTTTCAAGTCAACCTTTTAAAATTTGCAATAGTGTTGGCAATACTGAAAGCTTATGGATTCACAATAATAGAAAAGGGATACCACTGGTTTTATTTTTGAAATGCTATATGAAACATTGTACTCTCTTACTCAAGATTTTTTTTTTTCCATCAGAGGGTATCTATCAGAAGCTATCCTCAGAGGACTACTCAAGACTTTTAATAACAGTCTTATGCTATTCAGTAAGGGACTATGATCTAAAATTGATAAAATACAATTTAATTGCATCTCAGTGTTTGAAAGAAAAGTTGACAAATCTGCTAGCCAAACTAAGAATGTTTCTAGAATAGAGGGCAATAGGAGTCATATATCTTTTTGCTTTTAAACTATTACAGACAGTATTAATATTTTTAATAACAAAAAACCAGCATCAAATGCCTTATATAGATTTTGTAATTTGCCCTTTACAAAATCCTTTAATTTAACCTTGGTGACAGGAGCTACCATGATTCTCATTCCACAGATGAGGTTGAGTGAAGTAATAACTTGTTCACAGTCAGTGAGAGACAAAGACCGAGTTTGCCCATAAAAAAATTATAACCAATAGCATTTTATGATAGTTATCCTAATACATATATGTGAAGTCTATAAATATTTAATTCAAATTTATTTTTAATATCAGCACTTCAGCCTCTTCCTGAGCCTGCCACCAAATTCAGCTTCCAAATCTCTAACACCTTAAATTTCTGTGTGTGTGTGTATATGAGAGAGAGAGACCAACAGAGAGACAGAGACAGAAAGAGGGAATGCATAGGAAAATAAAATAAGAAGGGTGATAGTAACATCTTTCCTTTGGTTTCTCAATTTTGAGGTTCCTATTTTCATCTCTAGGAGTTGGCCTGGGATAGGGTAGCTAAAGGAACAGAGAAAATCAGAATGATAAAAAGGGACAGAAGGAAAAGTGGTGACCTGGACATCAAACCATAAAGAAGGGGACAACAGATGGCAAAGAAGATGGTGAGCAAGACATTCAGGTAGCCAGGCTCCTGGGTAGTGAAGCTCTGCAGTTTGGAGGGCAATGCCATGCAAGGATAAAGATTAATACAGTGAAAACACAGGCAAGGTGGGAAACCTGCCACAGTGAACCCATGAATAAGGCAAGTTTTGTAATGTTCAGATTGCAGTGGTTTTAAATATTAAGGGATTTTGAAATTGATATTCCATATCATTTCTAAAAATAAGTGGTAAAGCAAATGTTTTTATTCAGCTCTCTCTCTCTCTCTCTCTCTCTCTCTCTCTCTCTCTCTCTCTCTCTCTCTCTGTCTCTCTCTCCCCCCACCCCTTTTTTCTCTATTCTTCTGTTTTTAATGTGGAAATTTAAAAATCCAATCTCACACTAATCTTTTTATATATAAATAAAAGGAAAACTTCACTTGGATAGGGACTCTTTAGTAAGGACTACATCATTGTCTGACTTTTACTGCCACTTGGTGGTGAGGAAGAGCCATGAATCTACAAGAGAAAGGCAAACCGGTGGACTATAGAAATGCATCTCAGATTTATTGAATATTTAATTGCAATTACTTTTTACACATTGTAGGCAAAGAACTCTTGCTGTTTTTTGCCCAAGGCTTATGAATACACTTTTTTTAAAACAAAGTTTTATGTTGTAAGCATTGTATGACTCTTAGTATTAAATGAAACATAGTAATGAAGTTTGGATTAGCTTCATTGTTGTTTGCTTGTTTTTGTACTTTGATTCTAGAACTGCTGTTCACAAAGTCAATGTATCCTCGACTGCTGGTGAAGAAACTTGCTTCCCACAAGTGAAGCTGCACATTGGGTATTGCAGGCAGGAGGCTGTGAGTTTAATAAGTAAGGCAGTATTTGAACCCAGGTTCCAAATTTGAGGTCTAGTACAAATTTTTTTTTCTGTAATGATGGAATTTGGAGGTCTTTGACTTCTAAAGTGTCGTGTGGAAAATAACTCTTGTCCAAACACCATGCTCACCTCCAACACAAAGTTTTACCCAGTTTCTCTTACATAGAATGTTGTTCCCCTTCCTTTTCAAATTCCACTCATCTTCCAATGTCTGGTTTAAAAAAATATTGTCTGTCTTTAACTATTTCCTCCTATTAGTGTCTCTTTTTTTTTTTTTAACATGTCTACACTTAGCTTACCTTTAATACTCATGCCATATGCCATACGTTCTACTTGGTTACATATGCGAACCTAGTTCTTTCCACAAAACTCTCACACCAGTGATGGTGACAATATCCTTTCATTTCTTGTGTATCATTTCATGACTTAGTGTATCTACTCAAATTGTACTGCAAACGAATCATGCAGTAACTGGAATACAGGTTTTAAAACTTTTATAGCAACGTAATATTGTCATAATAGTTTATTTTATATTTTACAAATAGTAACAGCCCTCCACTATGGTTATTTGAAAAGCATCACCACAGAGAAGATAGTTGATACTCCAAAAATACTTAGCCTATTTTCTCAAAGGTAAAAATAAATTGAATATTCTATAATGTACTGTTCTTAATGTAAAAGACAATAATTAAATAAAAATAATTATTTAAACAAATAATAGTAACTCAGATCGATAGCAAGCCTGCAAAAAAATGAACTAAAATTCCCCAGATATATTTTCTGAGGCTGGATAACTCTTTAACAAAATGTTGGTGTAAATAAGCACTTCAGCATTAATAGATAAGTATACTCTTATAAAAGCTGAATAAAAATATCTTTGCCAGTTCTTATCACTACCTCAAAACTACTCTTTCTGCTGGTACCTATGACAGCAATGCTTTATCTTTCAATTTATACTTTTAAACTCTAGCCACTTCTCAAGATTCAAATATTCCATCCTGTGGAACATGTTTATTTAAATAGTTTATACTCTTCACATGTTGTATTATTATGCTATGCCCTAATTTACAGTAATTTGCTAATATGTCATATTTCCCTTAAGCTTCTTAAGGTCAAGACAATTTCTTATCATTTTCTATATTCCTCAGTGCCTTGCCCAAAATAGGTGTACAATAAATAAATGTTTGCTAAGTCAATATCATTGAATATGGCAAAATAATGTCCTTTTCAATATGGATAATGACTGGCTCTGCATGAGTAGGGCAGAGACTCTGAAGTATTTGACTAACAAGTTTTCTTTTTTTTTTTTTTCAGAATGGCTAGCCAACTTTAGAACTAGAGACCATGGAAAAGGTAATGGGGTGAAGTCATTGGATAACCTTGGCTTTACTCATAAATACACATCAAAGAGTCTTGAAGTTAAAATGGGCTGTGGACGTCATCTAAGCTAGCAGTCAAACCAGAAAAAATATTCCAGGGAATACGTGGAAGGTGTATTGAGCCACTAAAAACCTAAAAGTTAAGAGAACTGAGAATTCAAATGATGGTTACTTAAGAAAAATGTCATCTTACAGAAGAATACTTCTAATCACTACTGCAAAAGTCATACTTTTGACAAAAGTAGACTCATAAGGTTTATACACATTTCCAAATATTTGAAAGTGACACAAGCTTGATGTGTAGCTCTAAATGTTTTTGTAAGAGCTCCAGTGTGTTTTAGTTTGAAGCTTAATATACTCCTTAAGCAAATGACTTGAAGAACTAGTCCTGCCTTCTCTCAGCTCTCCCTCACAGAGAATGGGAACCCAGCCATTCAGAGTGGTTCCCTAGTACCCCCAGCTGCAGGGCCTGGGTGACATTCCTCTGTAGAAAAGCACTTTGGGACCGATCTACAGATGACTTCTTGTGTTTTCTTCTTTTGTATGAAGCTTCTGAGAGAACAGAAGGAAAAATGCAAGAACACATTGCCCTTCTATAATAGAGATCTGTTGTGCAGAGGCATGTACAACTGTGGACAGAATTCAACATTTTACATTAAATTCCCACACAGTTTATGGGGCTTCATTTAATAAACTGTATTTGAACTCTCTGTTTCCAATGTATGCCTATAGTTTCCTGTTCACTTAATTTTAAGGGATTACTTGTGTCCGCATTGAGAGATGTATCTGTTTCACTGTTGTTCTTGTATTCTCCTAATGATATTAGAAGTGACACTATCACGCAGTGATATGATCCTGGACACGCTATACATGGAGCAAAAGAGTATTCCATGTTTAGCCCAGCAGTCCATTCAATGACTTAAAATTGTGATGAAGAGAAGAGAAACACACGTCAAACACTCTAGTCAAAGTACCCAGAAGTGAAAATGGACTAATCTTGATTGATTCATGACTGACAAAGCCACATTACACACATTACTTATGATACTTGCTCTTTTTTGTGATGCCTTGGAGGCAATCAGCTGCTTCAAGATGAAGTTGAATGTCTCCCTCCCTGCCACTGGCTGCCGGAAACTCATTGAAGTGGACAATAAGCTCAAGCTTCGTACTTTTTATGAGAAGCATATGGCCACAGAAGTTACCGCTGACACTCTGAATGAAGAATGGAAGGGTTATGAGGCCTGAATCAGTGGTGGGAACAACAAACAAGGTTTCCCCGTTAAGCAGGGTGTCTTGACCTATAGCCATGTCCACCTGCAGCTGAGTTAGGAGCATTCCTGTTATAGAACAATGAGACCTGGTGAAAGAAAGTGCAAATCTGTTTAGGGTTGCATTGTAGATGCCAATCTGAGAATTCTCAACTTGGTTATTATTAAAAAAAGAAGAAGGAGGAGGAGGAGGAGGAGGAGGAGAGAAGGATATTCCTGGGCTGACTGAAAAGAGCTGGCAGAATCCACAAATTTTTCAATCTCTCTCAAGAAGGTGATGTCCGCCAATGAGCTGTAAGAAAGTCCTTTAACAAAGAAGGTAAGAAACCCAGGACCGAAGCACCCAAGATTCAGTGTCTCGTCACTCCATGTGTCCTGCAACACAAATGCTGTCACATTGCTTTAAAGAAAAAGCATACTAAGAAAAATAAGGAAGAGACCACAGAATATGCAAAACTTTTGACCAAGAGAATGAAGGACGTCAAAGAAAAATGCCAGAAACAGACTGCCAAGATATGCAGACTGTCCTCTCCGAGAACTTCTACTTACAAGGCTGATTCTAGTCAAAAATAAGATTTTTTTGAGTAACAGATAAGATCAGACACCCTTACCAACAAATTATGATACTTTTCTATAATTTTTTTTAAGAGGGTATATCTAGATACCACCTCTGTTACATAGAATTAGGTTTGATTGAAAGTGACTGAAAATTTCCAAAATGATAGTCATGAAAGCAAATCAGCATGCTTTTTGCTCACACACAATTAGACGGAAGTTTGACCATCCAGGTTGGGTGTGGCAGCTGTGCTTTATGAGTCAGCAGGATTTCCTACTCCTCAAACTCTCCCTGGGGTATGACTCCTTTACTCACAGTCATATGTAGCTGCCGTAACTCCAGGAAACACAACTTCATCCAAAGCTGCAGAGATGAAAAAGAAGTAAAAGAGCAAAAGACCCTCCCCGTTAAAAAGCGTCCCCGGAGGTCGTACACAAACAATTCTGCCCCTACTTCACTTTCCCAGATTTTGATCCATGGCCACATTGAACTGCAAGGTAGGTTAATAAATGTAATATTTATTTAAATGATGATGTTATCACTGAAGCCGTAAGGTTCCAGTTACTAAGAAAAAGGGAGAGAATAAATATTGAGAAGCAGCCAGGAATTTTTGATGCATATAATACCCATTCTATACTAGTGATGATTTCTTTTCAAGGAACTCTTTTATTTAGTTATTTGTTGAGTTAGTTATTCATTCATTCATTTTTAATTTCAGAGTTGTGGAGTCCATGTGAGGATTTGCTACATAAGTCAATTGCATGCAGATAGAGTGGGAGCTTCTAGCAAGCCCTCTCTCCCCTGGTAGTGTACATGATACTCAGTGAGTGCTTATGTGCCCTTTAACTCTACTCACTCCTCCCCATTAATGCCCAGTATCTGTTGTTCCACTCTTTGTGTTCACATGCCCAATGTTTAGAGCCTGTTGATGAGTGAGAACATGCTATATTCAGTTTTTTTTGTTTCTGTGATAGTTCACTTACAATGATGGCCTCCAGCTGCATCCATGTTGTTGCAAAGGACATGATTTTATTCTTTATGGATTGTGTGTATGTACCACATTTTCTTTATCTAGTCCACTTTCAATGGGCATCTGGGTTGGTTCCATGTTTTTGTTATGTGAATAGTGTTACGATAAACATATGCCTGCAGGTGTCTTTTTGGTATGGCAATGCATATTCTTTGGGTATATTCACAGAAGTGGGATTGCGGAATCATATGGTAGCTCAATTTTTAGAACTTTGAGAAAATGCCACACTGTTTTCCTCAAAGGCTGTACTGGCTTGCATTCCCGCCAACAGTGTACAAGCATTAAGGAACTCTTTCATATTTTAAAAAATTGGGAAATTCAGCCGAAGAATGTGAAAAGAATATGAATAAGTAATTCTTTAGGGGACACTCCAGTGAATTAAAAAATATGTGAAGAGAAACTCAACAAAATTAGTAATCAGATAAATGATACAACGTAGCATTTTGTATTCATTTATTAATTTTAGAAATTTGTGTCATTCCAAAAATTAGTAGAAATGTGGGTATACGAACATGTTCATGTTTTATCTGAAGCATGGAGACTCATTTGGAGATTGTTTTCTTAGTACTAATAAAAAATAGTTATGCATGTACTTTATCATATCCTGTGTGATTTCCCTTAATTAATAGCCTCAGAAGTCTATAAAAGGACATGTCAAGGATCTTATTTGGAACATTTTAGTGTACTGCAAACTGTTCTGTATTTGGATGCCTTTTCCTTGAAGATTTCATGCATGAGATGTGGTGAAGCTATTGTAAACAACCTCATGATGTAATATGGTTATACAAACTATATAGTCCATATGAAATATAAATATATGTACATGTGTACACACACATACATACAAAGCACATTGGTAAACCTTTTTTTTCTATTTTATCTTAAAGATGTGGGGTATAATTCAGGATTAGGTATACAAGTAAAGTTTGGGCCTCCCTTTGGTCCCCATTTTACCTGGTTTGAGATCAGGTACCCTTATTGATGTTGTGTCCTCCCACCCCAGCAGTATCCCACTACTACCAATCCCTTTCTTATAGTATTATGGTAAATGTTCATGGTGGTAAACCTTTAAAATGATGTTGAGTGAATAGTAAGCATATTCTAAGAAGTAAATAGCTATCTCTACATAAATAATATATGTGTATTTAAAATATATACACACAAAACATAGCATTATATATTTTTCAAAGACTTCTCCAAGGCATACGAGGAGATCCAAAAAATTCAGAATTATCTTTTTTGGAGGAGTGGGGAAAGGCAGGCCCCTTGTAGAACACTCAGAATTTGTTCCTCTGGATCAAATGGTCAACCAAAATTTTGATCTGGAAGTTTTGAGAAAACGGCATCACGATTTGTGGATGAAATGTCCCAAGATGTGGCAAACGGGTGACTGATTCTTCCACCATGACAATATACCTACCCACACCGTGCTGAGTGTTCAGCAGTTTTTGACCCACCTTCCTTATTTCTTATTCCTTATTTCTTCAAAATTGTCCCAAGCAACTTTTTTTGTTTCCCTGGATGAAAAAGTCTTCAAAAGGAAACGTCTTGCCCATGTGGGAGAGATGAAACTAAAAATGACAGAAGCACTAAAAGGCATCTACACTGATGAGGTCAAAAACTGTTGTGAGCAGTGGGAAAAGCATCTCACTAGGTGTATTGCATCAAACAGAGTAATTGAAATTTAAATATTTAAGAATAAATACACAACTTTTAATAAATAAATTCCAGTTTTGAGGGATGCCCCCTCATATATCTGGCACATGAGAGTAAACACCTATGTGAAAAAATTGGGAAATTCAAGTAAAGATTAAAAATAGTGCAAAATAACTAAAGTAGAGAAAAATGAGAGGGCACTTGCAAAGTCAATGGTGAGCTGAGATAATTAACTCAATTCAGTGCACTATTTCTCCCACTCCTTGAGTAAACTCTTTAAAACAGATTCTAATCCTTTTATTATTTCAGGTTGAAAAGAACGTATACCAAAATAATAGGCTTTCTCTCTCAATGTTTGTTGATTTGTTTGCCTGAATAGTGTGTTTTCTAAATGTTTAATCATATCCCTTGTTTGTCTTTTCTTTTTCACAAGCAGATGAAACTTCCTCCCCAATAAGCAAATGGAAGAAATTGTGCCTGTCACTTCAGGGAAGCTATATGGCAGGGTGGAAATACATTTTTTTAATTTTTTTTATTTTGAGTCCTTGGAGGACCCAAAGGGCCTTGTAAAAGAGATGAAGGGGGGATGGGGTGTGAGGTTGCTGAAGAGGTAAAAGGGGAGAGCTGACACAGCATCTTAGAGAAGCAGGAAGAGAGTTTGTGGCCATCCTGCCTCTCCTGCCCTCAATTCTGCAGAGTCTGGAGAAGGAAGAGCAGAGGGCCCTCTGGTTCCCAGGGAAGGGTCTGAGCCAGACTTTCTGATGAGTGGGGAGAAATAGCTGTGTGGTGAGTATCCAGGCAGACAGGATCCCAGACAGTCTCACAGAAGATTCTCCTCACTCAAGGCTGTTATAGAAGGAGCAAAGAGTCAATGCTCCTGAAGGAGACACTCACACACAACTCATCCTTCCTTCCTAACAGGCTTTGCTCCTTAGGAGCTCTTCCTACTTCTCTTTTTGCCAAAGAAAATCTGGGCTCCTGAACATGTATTGTCAAATCATATGATGATGCTATAACATTGACCCAGGGATCAACAAAATCTGAATAAAAGATCCAAGGTATAAATGGTATGCTGCAAATGACCACTTACAATGGCAAGGACAGTAGAGTTCTTGCACATCTTAGGATCTGGTTATTATCTATGAGGAGGGAGAAGACCCCAAATGATCACTATCATCTATACAAGGGGGGACCCCCCAAAAAAAAAACTCAATTATCTTTTGGAGAGCAGGCACCTTGTAGTACAGGCTTCCCCTGCTAGGTAAGTGTTCCAGAAACCCATGAGCATCAGTGTACCAGCTAGTGTTATTGTGAAAGGCTGTATTCACTTTCAGTGAATTTCTTTTTTTCTTTTTCTTTTTTTTTTTTTTTTTTGGGAGAGAGATTATTTCAACACATTTGTCCATTTCAGGTTGGATGATTTACAAGCACACCTGCCTACACCCACTAAGTGTTCAGCAATTTTTTTTACCAAAAACAGCATAACCCCGGTGGCCCCATCCTCCCTATTCACCTAATCTTGCCCCAAGTGACTTTTTTTGTTGCTTCCCCAGGTGAAAAAAAGTCCTCAAAAGGAAAAATTTTGCCAACGTGGAAGAGGTGAAACAAAAAAATGGCAGAAGCTCTAAAAGGCAACAAAATTGATGAGTTCAAAAATTGTTTTGAGCAGTAGAAAAACATCTCAATAAGTATATTTCATCAAATGGAGAGTACTTTGAAGGTGACTGAAGTTGAAACATGCAAGAATAAATACGCAATTTTTTAATGAATAAATTCCTGAATTTTTGCGTTCTACCTCATACCTCCTCTTCATAATATCCATGCAGAGGTGATGAGGGAGAAGAGCCCACTCCCTGTCCTACCACTCACCATTGACACTTGGTTTTCCCCTTTGCGTGCCACTCGAGGTTTGTTCATTAGTTTCTTTTTTTTGAGTTGGAGTCACTCTGTCACCCAGACTGGAGTGCTATGGCCCCTCCCAGCCACCGCAGCCTCGACCTGCTGGGCTCCGGCGATCCTTCCGCCTCAGCCTTCCAGTAGCTGGAACTACAGGCTCACGTTACCACGCCGGGCCAATTTTTTTTTATTTATTGTAGAGATGAGGTCTTGCCAAGTTGCCCAGGCGGGTCTCGAACCTGCGGGCTCAGGCAATCCACTCACCTCAGTCTCCCAAAGCGCAGGATTACAGACTGAGCCACTGAGCTCGGTTTGTTCATTAGTTTCTTAGGGCTCTAGGTCAGAGCAAAGAGTTGACTTGCTATTTGAGGGTGAATGGGGCCACCAAAAGCCTATGGGACCAGGTAATAGCAGATGTTCTTCCATTCAAGTCTT